TTTCCAACCTTAAATTAAGAATAACTGCTTTTACTGATGTTAAAATTAAAGACAGTAAATTATAACAATACGAAGAAAACTTAGAAACACTTTATAATGATTTTGAGAACAGTTTTGAGAATTTCTTGTGAATCCTTTAGTGATTAATGTCATCAACGATGGATGTCCTATTGTTGCATTTTTTGCCTAGAATGTTGCATCAATAAAGACAGAACTGTTTTCCTTACCATTTCCTGGATCTCTTGATGGTCTGATATCTCTGCAGGGGACCTGTCACTTTCCCTAACTTCAGTTTCCTCTCTGTCTACTGTCTCTGCACCCAACAGCCTGCCACTTTCGCTCCCCGACTTTTCCCAGGCAATCCAGTAGTCTGATAGGGCCTCAGCAACCAGTGAGGTCCCCTTGCTGGTTGCTGATGTTCCTGTTCCTGATGTCATGCCCATTCTGCTGTTCAGTTCCTTAACTTCTTTCAAAATTTTCATTTCCTTCTCTTATCTCTGTATCCTGGCCTCTGCAGCTACAACTTGTAGCTACCACTTCTTGCTGTCTTCAGCAATCCTCTTCATTTTGTTGCTAAGCTCTTCTAGCCTCCTTTCACACTCTTGCTATTTTTTCATGAGCTCCCAGACTTTTCCTATAATCCTCTGACTCTTTGTTCTACTCTGCAGTATCCCATTTTGTTTTTTTGTTTTTTGCTAGTTATCACGAAATGCTTAGGTACACTTGTGTGTGCATGTAAGGTACATGTGTACTCACTTATTTGTGGTTGCAGGGATCGAGTCAGAGCTCCTTGCCCCACGTCTTCACTCATGCCTACTAGATCCACTCTCTCCCTGCTCCATGGCTTTTATCAAGCCTTGTCTTAACAATATGTATTATTCCTGCCTCCAGTACATCACTTTCCAGGCTATTCCACTTCCTGACAACCCTGTGACTGAAGAAATACTTCCAAATATCCCTTTGACTCATCTGAGTCTTCAACTTCCAATTGTGACCACTTGTTTCTGTGTCTCATCTCTGGAACATCCTGTCTCTGTTCACCTTGTCAATTCCTGGCAGCATTTTATGTCGTTAACACGTCTCTCCTAACCCTCCTGTCGTCCAGTGTCATCAGGCCGACTTCCCTTAAATTTTCTTCGTAGGACAATCCCCGTAGCTCTGGGACTAATCTTGTTGCAAACCTTTGCACTTTCTCTAATTTCTTGACGTGCTTGACCAGGTGTGGATTCCAAACTGATGCTGCATACTCCAGTATGGGCCTGACGTATATGGTATACATAGTCTTGAACGATTCCTTACTGAGGTATCAGAATGCTATCCTTAGGTTTGCCAGACCCCCATATGTGGCAGCAGTTATCTGACTGAAGTGCACCTCAGGAGATGTGCTCGGTATTATACTCACCTCAAGATCTTTTGCTTTAGTGAAGTATGCAGTCTTTGGCTACCTAGACTATACTCTGTCTGCAGTCTTCTTTGCCCTTCCCCCAATCTTCATGACTTTGCATTTGGCATGGTTAAATTCAAAGAGTCACTTGCTGGACAAGGCTTGTAGCCTGTCCAAGTCTCTGTAGTCCTGCCTGATCCTCGACCGATTTGATTCTCCTCATTAACTTCACATCATCTGCAAACAAGGGCACTTCTGAGTCTGTCCCTTACGTTATGTCATTCAAGTAAGCCAAAAACAGCACAGGTCCTAGGACTAACCCCTGTGGAACCCAGCTTGTCACAGGCGCCCACTCTGACACCTCTTCACGTACCATGATTCGTTGCCTCCCTGTCAGGTATTCTCTGATCGACTGCAGTGCCTTTCCTGTTGTGTGCCTGATCCTATAGCAGTTGCATTAACCTCTTGTGAGGATCTGTGTCGAAGACCTTCTTGCAGTCCAAGAAAATGTAGTCTATCCACCCTATCTCTCTCTTGTCTTCCTTCTGTCACCTTGTCATAAAACTCAAGTAGGTTTGTGACACAGAATTTTCCTTCCCTGAAACCGTGCTGGTTGTCGATTACACGCTTATTTCTTTCCAGGTGCTCCACCACTCTCCTACTGATGATCTTCTCCATGAATTTGCATATCATACACGTCAGTGACACAGGTCTGTAGTTTAATGCCTCGTGTCTGTCTCACTTTTTAATAATTGTGACTACATTTGCCAATTTCCATACATCAGGTAGTTGCCCAGTTTCGATGGATGTGTTGAATATCTTTGTTAGTGGCACACACAGCGTCTATGCTCCCTCTCTAAGGACCTATGGAGAGATGTTGTCTTGTCCCACCGCCTTTGAGGTATCAAGTTCACACAGCAGCTTCTTCACCTCCTCCTTGGTTATGTATACCTCATCCAGCACTTGTCGGTGTACCCCACTGTTCTGAATTCCTGGAGTCCTACCTGTTTCCACTGTAAATACTTCTTTAAATCTCATGTTCAGCTCCTCACATACCTCTTGGTCATTTCTTGTGAACTCCCCACCATCCTTCCTCAGTCTGATTACCTGGTCCTTGACTGTTGTTTTCCCCTGATGTGGCTGTACAATAGCTTCGGGTCAGACTTGACTATCGATGCTATGTCATTTTCGTATTGTCGCTGAACCTCCCTTCTTATCTGTGTATATTCGTTACTGGCTCTTCGGCTGATCTCTTTATTTACCTGGGTCCTCTGTCTTCTGTACCTTCTCAGTTCTCTAGTACACCTAGCTTTTGCCTCTCTACATCTTTGGGTGAACCAAGGGCTCGTTCTTGTCTTCCCATTATTTCTGTATCCCTTGGGAACAAACCTCTCCTCTGCGTCCTTGTATTTTGTTTTCACATAGTCCTTTTCACATAGTCCTTTCGCTGGTTTTCCTGCCAGTTCTCTCTCCCACTGAATGTCTTCCAGGAAGTTCCTCATGCCTGTATAGTCCCCCCCTTTTGTACTCTGGTTTTTCCCATTCTATTCCTGCTACTCTCTCCACTTGTAGCTCAACTATGTAATCAAAGCATAGAACCACATGATCATTAGCTCTAAGGTGCCTTTTATACATGATACCCTCGATGTCCAAACTACTCAAGGCGAATACAAGGTCCAGTCTTGCTGGATCATCATCACCTCTCTCTCTGGGAGTGTCTCTAACATGTTGATGCATGAGGTTTTCCAGTACCACGTCCATCATCATGGCTTTCCATGTTTTGGGACCCCCATGGGGCTCCAGGTTTTCCCAGTCAATCTCCTTGTGATTGAAATTATCCATAACTAGTAACTTTGGTCACTTCAGCTAGCGTGTCCAACCATTGCTCTGTTGCTCTCGTCGTATTCTTCTCTTGGCCTCCTGCAGTTCTGTGGTGGGTTGTACAATACTGCAATTACCACCTTATGACCTTCAGACTGGATTTTTCCTACTAAGTAGTCCCTTTCGCACATTCCATCCATTCCATCCACTTCTGCAAATCACCGCCAGTCTTTAAGGGAGCCGTCATCCAATTAATTGTTGCTTTTTTGTTTACCGTCAGATTTCCTTCTGTTTTGGTGCACAAGACGAAGCAGTGCAACTTCTCCTCCCCCTCTCCTCCCTCTATCTTTCCTGAGGATTTGATGTCCGGGTGGAAAGATTGCATCTGTTATCCTGGTGAGTTTCATTTCTGTGAGTGCTATTATGTCTGGGGATATCTCCTTGATTCTTTTATGCCACTCCTCACACTTATTTGTTATTCCATCTGCATTTGTATACCAAACCTTCAACTTCTTTTCTAAAACTTTGGTAGGGGTTGGGGAAGTGGGAGACCTGCTGAGGAACTATGAGTGGTTGTTGTGAGGGTGGAGTTTGTAATGAGGTGGGTGGGGGCATTGGATATGGCATGTGTGTTTTGGTTTAGAATGTTTGGTTGCATTGGGGATGTCCTGGTTGGGGAGCATCTGTAGGTGGTTGTGAAGGAGGCTGTAGTTCTCTTCTCCATCTCCACCTTTACCTCTCTTTCCTCCTTTTGTCATTGTACCATCTCTTTCAGTTTCTGCCTCTCTTCTCATGTTTTGTTGTGGTCGAGATACACCTTCTGGTACTCCGGCATGTCCCTTAGTCTGTGTGTGTGTGTATGTGTTTGTGTGTGTGTGTGTGTGTGAGTGTGTGTGTGTGCGTGTGTGTGTGTGTGTGTGTGTGTGTGTGTGTGTGTGGTGTGTGTATGTGTGTTTTTCTCCAGGAAATATGTGTCAAGTTCCATCATTACTGTATTCTTCAAGCAAAAAGCTGTTATCTTGCCTCAACCCATTATTTTATATTATTCAGTATTCTACATTTTCTTAAATATTAATCCAAATGCATATACAAATTCATTTATTTAATTGGCTTATTGCTCCAAATTCCATTTATTTTAAAGACTTTTTCAAACAAAAGTCATTCGAGTAGTGAATGAGCTCTGAAAGTGCTCTCCATGAGACAGGTACAAAGTGTGTGCTGATGAGTGCCTCTCATATTCTGATTGTCCCTAAAATTGAGTCATATGAGATTATTATTACATTATTTGCCTTGCATTTAACTGCTTTCCCATCAGCATTTCTTTAGTGAAATAACATGCAACTAGATCGGGTCGAAGCACTGCTCTCTGGTTTTGTGCAAAATAAGATTTTTCTAAGCAGGTAATGTGAGCTACACAGTGGTGACTCGGGCCATAATCCACTCAAACACTAACAGCAAACTGTTTGATTCTTTAGAGACGGGATTAGAGTAAACTCTCAGTGTATATACACATAAGATGGATATCCTAATGCTCATTATTATTAGTGCATATTATGATACTGTATAAATTTTCTTATCATCCAATTTTTCTTGCCTCCGGAGTGGCTGAAGTTCGTGGGGAGAGAGCTTTGTGAGTTTTTATTCTAGCCTCATCTTTCTAGATAATAATATAAATTGCCAGAAAGTAGATTTATCACTAGTATCACCTTAATGTATACCGCAAGGCATTGTGTAATGTCTCTAAGAGATTGGTTATTCTGCACCAGTGGAGAGTAAATAACACACTGTTTGGCCGTAATACAATTTATTTAAAGATTTGCTTCCTACTTCACATTTCACTCTACACACCAGTGGAGAGTCAGACTATTAGGAATTGTCTGTCAAGTATACAGTATAACAACCACAACAATCAGGGTAATTAACCCTGCGAGAGAGATGCAGATGTGACAAGACCGACACTCTCTGCTAACAGGTTGTACTTAGGATACCCAAGAGGAGCCCCTCACTTCATGAGTGAACCTTCTTTAACTTTGATATTTAAAAGCTAACAGTTGATAGTAAATGCTTGTGACCATTGGCAGAAGTATATGTGGATGCTACACGTAACCCACGGAAACTTTCACTGCATCACATCTAATATAGAGAAAGAAGCCGTCTACAGTATGCATAGCACTGAGGTCGTGTGTGTGTGTATATTGACAGCTGGGTGTAAGAGCAGAAAGCTATTGCTCACTTTCTGGCTGCTCTGAAGATGCATTGTGTTTCTCTTTGCGCAGTCGTCCCCGCCCTCCGCGCCTGTGTGCACGTCCACGTCCCTTGGCGCGAATTTCAGGACGAGGATCCTGCTCCTGAGCAGCCGCTCCTCTCTTGATTTCTGCTTGAGGTGAAGATGTGGCTCCCACAGAGCCGTCTCGGCCATGCCCGCCCCCTCGCTGGCCTTGCGACAAGTCTCTGGACGAAGTGGGAGTTCTGGCAGGGTCTCGACGCCCCCTGGAGTCCTCTCGGGCGGTAGGGGCTCTCCCGGACCCCCTTGATGGGTGCAGACCGACTTCTGTCTCGCTAATATCCTGTCTTTGCTGTCTGTCTTGTTGCTGCTGTGGTTGCTGCTGCTGCTGCTGCTGACGATTTCTTGTACGCCCACGTCCAAAGTACCTTCCTCGGCCCCGTTGTTGTTGCAGTTCATGCGGTTTTTGGTCTGACCTCGCACCAGAAGAAATGGCAGGCAAAGTGGTTCCACCTTCACGCTCACTCGACCTGTAAAAGAGATTTATCAGACCGATGATAAGCCATTATAATACAAGATTGTCGATACATTACTGGCAAGGTAATTCATCCTCATATATACACTACTTTACCTAACAGGAATGCTTAATTCCAAGGCTTCATTAACATAGCCTAACGTTCAGATATTAATGTCTTTCTACCAAGCATGCACACAAACAAACAAATAACTTTATTTCAATAAAGCGGCGCATTTTACAGCATACAACTGTGGCAACTGACATGTGTAAACTACTCAAGAGAAAGCACTTTATTAGATAAAACACAACATTGAATACATAGCACCAGACTAAAGACCCTTCTCCATAATGACGTGTATCTAGTGTGTTATGTATATTTTACTAGTATCTCCATCACACTGCGCTAAACTCTCTTCACACAAATGTTATGTATCAGTAAAATATGCAATGATTCCTACAATTGTTAATTACATCCACCATCACCTTTTCAAACATCACTGCTACGTTCTTCTCATTCTAATCTTGGGTCACAATACTAATATCTTCACACTAAAGTTCCACATACATTCAAACATGTCTTTCCTTCTCCCTGAGCACCTTTCGAGTTGTCTCCTTGTACGTCATGCCTTTGCACATAATTACTCTATTTCTCAATTCATTTTTTATATAGCCCCTAAACTACCTGGAGTCTCCCTTGAGGGTATTCAGGGAATTAATGCCTCCGCGGTCAGGTGCATGACCAGGCCTCACGGTGCATCAGGGCCTGAGGAACCAGGTTGTTACTGCCGGTCACACGAAATCCAACACATGAACCACAGCCCGGCTAGCCAGTTACTGACTTCAGGTATCTGTCAGGCTCTCTCTCTTGAAGACAGTCAGGGGTCTATTCGTAATTCTCCTTATGTACGTTGGGAGGTAGTTGAACAGTCTTGGGCCCCTGACACTTACTGTGTTATCTCTTTGTATACTCAAGGTGCCCTTGTTAGCATTGGGGGTATGTTGCTTCGCCTGCTGAGTCTTTTGCTTTCGTAGGGAATTTTTTCTGTATGCTGATTTAGGACTAGTCCCTTTAGGATTTTCCAAATTTAAATTATGATTTATCTTTCTCGCCTGCATTCCAAGAAGTACAGGTCACATATTTATATTGATATTGGAATTTATCTAACATCTATAGATGTATTTGCTTTTCCGTTATTACATAGGTAAATAAGCAAAGAAAACTTTATTTAGCAAAGCGAACATCTGGTTTTATAAACAGTAGCATAAATTTGAACACTGGATCTGAGGGCACATAAATGATGCGAACATACATATACTGAACCGTATGTATATTCAATCTAGAGTATCCTAATAAAGTCAAACACTGAGACTTGTGTAAATAAAAAAAACACGTATGCACTGATCGAGACGTATACGTAGATCATTTATTTAAAATTTGGCTGTATCACCATACCATACCAGTTCCACCAACAAGATTTATTATATTTGGGGTCATTGAAGAAACTAATAACAAAAAACAAACAACTTAATTTCTAATAATTTGGTAAGTGACAATTGTAAACTACATTAGAGATACCACCTTATTATACAAAGTACAAAAATGAATGCATATCACCAGACTGAACACCCTTCTTCAGGCGAGAAGGATAATGGTACTGTCCCGTAGCTGGATGGCTAGCGCACTCAGTTCACACACTGAGGTGTGGAGTTCGATCCCCTGGTACGGCTGGATAACATTTGGGCATGTTTCCATAAGACACGTGCTGTCTATGTTAACCCAGTAGTATAAAATGGGTACCTAGGTCTTAGTCGGCTGGTGTGGGTCGCATCCTGGAATATAACTGACCTAATTTGCCCGATATACTCTGCATAACAACTGTCTTTCTATATGTATCATTGATGTCAGCTAGGCCTTTATACCTTGTACATGTACCTGTAGAAATAAATATATTATCATTATTATTATTTGCACGAGCCTGAACAAGAGTGAATTGGAGTGTAACTACAGTGTTCATTGAGCAACATATATTGTCTCAAGTCCACAAGAAAAAAGAGGAAAATAAGTTCCACTCTAGAAAACATGGTAATAGTAGTGGAAAGTGAAGTTCCTGAGCTGAAATATGCAATAAGATTATTTAGCGAAACTGTATTTAGCGAAACTTTGAAAGGATTCTAAGAAGCAAGATCACCACCCATCTAGAAACCCATCAGTTACACAACCCAGGGCAACATGGGTTTAGAACAGGTCGCTCCTGTCTGTCCCAACTACTGGATCACTACGACAAGGTCCTGGATGCTCTAGAAGACAAACAAAATGCAGATGTAATACACACAGACTTTGCAAAAGCCTTCGACAAGTGTGACCATGGTGTAATAGCGCACAAAATGCGTGATGAAGGAATAACAGGAAAAGTCGGTAGATGGATCTATAATTTCCTAATAAATAGACCACAAAGAGTAGTAGTCAACAGAGTAAAGTCTGAGGCAGCTACGGTGAAAAGCTCTGTTCCACAAGGCACAGTACTCGCCCCCATCTTGTTCCTTATCCTCATATCGGACATAGACAGGGATATAAGCCACAGCGCAGTGTTTTCCTTTGCAGATGACACCCGAATTTGCATGACAATGTCGTCCATTGAAGACACTGCAAGACTCCAGGCGGACATGAACCAAATCTTTAAATGGGCCGCAGAAAACAATATGAAATTCAATGATGAGAAATTCCAAATACGCCAAGCTCATGATGACACTCATCAGGTCACTTGTTATGTCTAGGCTGGAATATTGCTGCACACTAACAGCACCTTTCAAGGCAGGTGAAATTGCTGACCTAGAAAATGTACAGAGAACCTTCACGGCACGCATAACTGCGATAAACTACCTCAATTATTGGGAACTCTTGAAATTCCTAAACCTGTACTCCCTAGAACGCAGGAGGGAGAGATACATGATTAAATACACCTGGAAAATCCTAGAGGGATTAGTACCAAACTCACACACGAAAATCACTCCTTACGAAAGCAAAAGCCTCAGCAGATGGTGCAACATCCCCCCAATGAAAAGCAGGGGTGCCACTAGCACGATGAGAGACAACACAATAAGTGTCAGGGGTCCCAAGACTGTTCAACTGCCTCCCAGCATACATAAGGGGGATTATCAGTAGTCTCCTGGCTGTCTTCAAGCATGTACTGGACAGGCACCTAAAGTCAGTACCAGACCAGCCGGGTTGTGGCTCGTACACTGGATTACGTGTGGCCAGCAGTAACAGCCTGGTTGATCAGGTCCTGATCCACCATGAGGCCTGATCACAGACCAGGCCGCGGGGGCGTTGACCCCTGGAACTCTCTCCAGGTATACTCCAGAACATGAACCAATGTGGATACCATGAACCCATATGGAGAATATGAACCAATAGGGAGAATATGAACCAATATGGAGAAAATGAACCAATATTGAGAACATAAACCAACATGAAGACCGTGAAACAGCATGGAGAGCATGAACCATCATGGAGACTTTGAACAAATATGGAGAATATGAACCAATATGGAGAATATGAACCAATATAGAGAACATGAACCAATATGGAGAATATGAACCAATATAGAGAACATGAACCAATATGGAGAATATAAACCAATATGGAGAATATAAACCAATATGGAGAATATGAACCAATATGGAGAATATGAACCAATATAGAGAATATGAACCAATATAGAGAACATCAACCAATATGGAGAATATAAACCAATATGGAGAACTTGAACCAATATGGAGAATATGAACCAATATAGAGAACATGAACCAATATGAGAGTAAGACACATGTGCAACATCTGGGTATCTTTATTGTAGACGTTTCGCCATCCAGTGGCTTTATCAATACAAATTCCAGGACATAACTTGAAGACAGTAGGTTGAGGGACTGATTACCTCATCTTCTGTACATAGTTCTACTGTCTTCAAGTTATGTCCTAGAATTTGTATTGATAAAGCCACTGGATGGCGAAACATCTACAATAAAGATACCCAGATGTTGCACATGTGTCTTACTCTCATCTTGTCGGTATTATATACCATTCGTACACATGAACCAATATAGAGAACATCAACCAATATGGAGAACTTGAACCAATATGGAGAAAATGAACCAATATGGAGAACATGAACCAGTATGGTGAACATGTACCAATATGGAGAAAATGAGCCAATATAGAACATGAGCCAATATTAAAAATATAAACAATTATGGGGAACGTGAACAAATATCGAAAACATAAACCAATATGGAGAATATGAACAAATATGAAGAACATGAACAAATATGAAGCAATTTGGAGAACATAAACCAATATGAAGAACATGAACAAATATGGAAAACATGAACTAATATGAAAAACAGGAACTGTGGAGAAAAATCTCCAGTAAAGAGGGTATCTCTGAGTCCCCTCTGAGGGACTTAGCCCTTTGACAAAGGGTAAGTAGACTACGACTCCATTGCACATCTTGTAGTAGAACCAGATGTATGTACCATAGTCTCCAGGCACGTCCTCTCCTTGCTAGAATTTCTGATCAACTTCACAATGAAGGTTAAATAAGAGTAATTACTCTTTTCCCCATAGCAGGAAAATTAAGAGGAAACCGGCGCCCCACTTGGTCTACAAATCAGGGACATTAAGACTTCTAGCCTACAGCTAAATAACAAGAAACATGACCTCTTGTGTAAATTCTGGTTGCATAAACTAGCAATAAGTGTATATAAAGCTGAGTTCAGTATTTCCTTTGAGCGTAAGATCTACGAGAGTGAAGGAGGGCGGTGATGGCTTAGATTGACTTCAGGACTCACATACATCACACAGTCTTCCATTGAGAACAAAGACAACAGTGAATTTGTGTGGTGGACTCTGAAATACTATCAATCTCCACTAAGAAGTTTAATTAGTGTAAAACCAAAGAAACATGAGTGTATTAATCTGTGTATAATCCCAACAAAGCGTACAAGTTTCCAAGT